GATGTCGTTGACGAGCCAGTGAAGGTAGTAACTCTTGGGGGGGATCTCGGGGGCGTCCGGATCGATGAACAGGATCAGGTATCGCCTCGTCTGTGAAATGTAGGAAAGGAATGAAAGCCGGCCGATTCGCTGTCGTGACTTTAACGGGCTCGGCGTCGAGAATCTCGACTCAATGACAATTTCTGTCTGTCTTCGACGTATCGACGACGTCTTCTACGTAATTCCGTCGAATGACTAAAAAGAAATACGTTAAATGGCCTATTCGGCTGCTTTTCTCCATCCCAATTTAAGTAGGTCCCTGAAGCTTCTTATTCTCCCTAACAGCGGCCATTTCATGATAAAGTAGTTAAGCAGTTGCACTCGCTTGGAGGCTGATACGACACGTGAGTTCCGGTCGAGCGACTTCATTCGAGGAAGCGACGCGGCGAAGTGTGAACCTGCAGGATGTCACCTCTCTCGTTCTCGGCGGTTAGCAGACGACGCGCTCCGAGGACCAATAGAAACGCTGAGCTCGATTTCGCAGACGACGCGCTCCGACGGCCAATAGAAAGTCTAGGTTCCGCAGACGACGCGGACGAGGACCAATAGAAAGGCTGAGCTCGATTTCGCAGACGACGCGCTCCGATGACCAATAGAAAGGCTGAGCTCGATTTCGCAGACGACGCGCTCCGAGGACCAATAGAAAGGCTAGGTTCCCGCAGACGACGTGGACGAGGACCAATAGAAAGGCTCGGCGCCTGACATCGTCTCGGAAGTCATTCAGTTCCGCCCCGGGAAAGACACTTCGGCTTCGGAAGTCGCGCTGAAAGCTGTCGGCGGGAACATCCGGGTCCGGGAGCATCCGGATCGGAACGGACCAAGCCGTGGATCCTCCGGCCACTTCCTTTTCTTTTCCATGCACGAAATTCCAGCCATTTTAGAGGGGCCACACGCATCCTTGCACATTTCAACGTCACTTAAAGGGAACCTTTAATTCCTTTTTTTTTATTTGGCTGATTCTATTGATTACGTTAGATGACGCTGGACGCGGACTGCCCAAAAAAGGCGATCCGGTCTCCCTTTCCCGACACATCCAACAACGCGACAATCGTTCTAGGTGCCTTGCAAGCTATCGAAGCCGAGAGGGTAAAGCGATTCGTCTAAATCTTTGGGCGCGTGTTAAGCCCCCGGAAAAAACAATGCCAAAGAAAACAATCTCTCGTGGAAAGGGACACGACCGAAGGAAATTTAAAGACTCGATAAATTCTTGAAAAAAGGGGGAAGACTCACGGCATTAGCGCGAGGGTAGAGGACCCCAGGCGGCAGCAGCAGTCGCTCCGGCCCCTCGAGCTCCCCGCCGCACGGCAGGGCCTCCCCGCCCCGATCGACCACGGTCAGCCGATCGAACCGATCGCACGGGTCGAAGGCGGACGACATCGCGAGGGTGAAGGGAGGCTTGGAGGCGCAGCGGGACCTCCGAGCTTGGAGGAGGTGGAGGCGGAGGAGGAGGAGGAGGAGGAGGAGGGGACGGGCGGTCATGCCGACTTCCTTCTGAGTCTTCCTCCTCCTTTTTCGTGCGTCTTCGGAGGAGGGTCCCGTGACGGGTCCCGTGACGGGCGTTCACCCGTGCTTCCGAATGTGCTTCCGTGCTTCGGTGCTTCCGAATAAAAAACCTTTTTTCAGGCTTTTTTTTTTCGGTACCGGTTCGGTTCCTGCCGCGGAAGGCCTGAGGAAGGCCTGAAGAAGGCCTGAGGAAGGCCTGATGAAGGCCTGAGGAAGGCCTGAAGAAGGCCTGACGAAATCCTGAAGAAGGCCTGTCGCATCGGTGGAGCGGTCGTCGTTCCGGACGACATGTGGCGGAAAGCCGACACGATTTCCTTCCAGTCGAATCGGAAGCGAGGAAGATTTATATCGCACTTTCGAAATCCAGGCGACGTTGCAGACTCGAGTGCAAAAAATGTTGTATCAAATTTGCACAAATTTGCATCCCGTCAACGCACAAGTTTCTTCTGATTTTATTTTATTTCATTTTTTTAATTTTAAGATTTTAAATTAGCTATTAAAAAATAAATGTCGAAATGCGGAAATAAGGACGACGGGGATAATCCGGATTAATGGATTAGCCAGGATTAAAAAATGAGGACCGTAGTCCTGTTCACCACTCAGAATGCGGCCTCCCCTCCCAACTCGCCCGAGGGCGAGCGGAACGGTCCTCAATGATCGCAGAGGGATGTCCCCCCCGAAGGAGGCCCCCCGAGGGAGGATGTCCCCGCGCGATCCGCTTCCCGCTCGGAGGAGGTCGCTCTCGCTCTTCATCGTGGCGAGATTGCGAGTGAGATTTCCACGCTGAGGTGGGAGATCAAACTACAGAAATGATCCTGTGAAGTATGATCTTAAAAAAAAGAAGGTTGTTGAGGGGGATGTGAGGAGGGGCGAGGGCGGTGGGGCCTCGAGGACCCGAATTCCATTTCGCAATTTTTAAATTATATTTGTGCAAATTTTTTTAAGTTTTTTCTCTTAGCGAATTTCGGGGCCGACGAGGGTCGTGGAAAAACGCTTCGATGTCGGCGGAGATCGGAGGCGGGAACGGCGATCGCGAGGGAAACGGGGCCGACGCGGGCGGCGGCGCGGTGCTGACACCTGTCGGCGAGACGGGGAAATGCGGCTCGGTTCCGCCTGCGACGGTTTCGCAACGGAAAAATTGGCCTTGAATGATCGCGACGATAATGGCTGTCATGGCCCACCGTCGCTCCGCATGGCCCACTGTCGCTCCGCATGGTCCACTGTCGTTCCGCATGGTCCACCGTCGCTTGAGTCGCTCTCAAACCGACCGTTTCAAGCGACAGTTCAGTGAAATTGCAGCCGGAAATTAATTCGAAAAAATGATAATTTCCACCTTTACCACATTTAACTTTATATAAAATTTCGCTTAATTTTTTTGCTAATTTAATTAGTTCAGCGCTGAATCGCGCCTTATTTCCTGCGAAAAAAAAAAAACATAATACCAAATAAGTCCTGATTTCTTTCCGTTCCTTTCAATCTTCCAGGAATCGAATTCGACGTGGCATCACTGCGCCGTGGCATCACTGCGCCGTGACGTCATCAGCGGCGCGCGGGAAGGAAATCCCAAGGGAGGAAAATCGGCCGCCGCCGAATCCGGTCGTTTTCTTCCGCGCCGGCCGATTCTCACGCGAAAACTCCGTGACGTCATCAGCCAGCGAATTTTTTAAATTATTCATCTGAAGCGAAATCGCGCGTTTTCGGCGGGAACGAAACTTCCCGAGTCCACTTAGGTCCACTTAAGCTTAGGCCTAACTTAAGCTTATGCCTAACTTAACTTCCTCGGGGGGAAAAAAGGAGGGCGCTGAGCGTGACTCCATCCGCGAAAAGCGTTATGAAACGAGTAACGGATCGTAACTGACCTGCGGCGACCCTTGCGGTCTAATCGCGGCAACCTTAATCCGAGGACGCGATTAACCCGGTGATCTCCCCGACCCGGCTCGACTGAAGGGGAACGCGCAGGCGAGACATCTGGCGGAGGTCGGGTCGAGCTCGAGCTTCGAGGGAGAGTTTCCAGAGGAAAATCTGAAATTAGGTGAAAACTTTTCTAATAGGACTCGAGGTACTTTTCCCTTAAGTACTTGGGGCGTGAAGTACTTTAGGTACTTTAACGTGCAACTTGAACGCCGCCTGAGGCAGTGAAGAAAGTCTGGAGTCTCGTTCCCGAGCCGAATCTGCTTTCGTCAGTTGACGAGTCGCTTCCGAGTCGTAAGCTGGAGGCACTCGAATGACGAGGAGATCGGCGTGTGGTCATTCTCGGATGTGCGAATGCGTCACGGCGGGTTCGCTTGCGATCGTGAGTCATTAGGACTAAAGAGATTCGCCCTCGGAGGGAAGGACGAGACATTCTGGTGACGGAGGTCCCCAGCGACGGAGGACAGAGCAGTTCGCGGCGGTACGA